TTTTTTTTATTGACGATGGCATGAAAGAAGGTGGATGCAACGAGAGATGTTAAATAATCAAAAAATAACTGCCCAATATAACTGGTCTTACAAATAAAACAATAAGAACATTATTGATAAGAAATGCGAAAACAGCCTTTTCTCGAGAACGTAGAGCCGAATTTCTAGAAAAATGAATTGGTTAAAGTCAAAATTATCTAGATAAACCAACTTTATTTTCAAAAGATTCTGATTACTACTGACCTATAAATGTAAAAAAGGAAACAGCGAATGCTGCAATCAGGGCTATAAAGATGCCGATTCTTTCCTGCTGCCACAAAAATTTCTGCAAAATATTTAAAAGACAATTATTGGTCTCACTTCTCTCTAACTTTTTTTTCGCTGTTCACAAATATCATGGAAATTAAAACTAGTGTTTGATAGATTCGTGCCTTCAACTGTACAAATTCAACAAATTTCGTCATTACTTGATTTATATTGATGACCATCCAATCAAATTCACGTACATACGAATTTTGATTTTGCAACTATATCTTCATCACATTGGAAATTTATCAGTCTTCCCCTCCTCAAATGAATTCACCAATTCAATTCATTTTCATCGTTTGGCACATGCTGTATATCCGGTCCCACCACAGTAACCTTCATGATGCAGAATGAATCATTGGACCAATTCTTTCAACCGATCGTTGAATGAATCTCAGAATGGATCTTTAGTATGATCATTGGACCAATTCTTTCAACCGATTGTTGAATGAATTTCAGAATGGATCTTTAGTATGCAAATCTTCTTAACCCTTTTTTATGTGGGAAGTTCATCAATGCTGGGCTCTCTTATACTTGTAGCCATAAATTTCCTTAAATTGATCAAGCCCATTACCTTATCCCAATACATAACAATTCGTAATTACCCGACAAGGTCATCAATATAGCCACTGAATCTGTATCGAGCAGGTTTTCTTATAAGCTATCGAAGTCCTTCCAACTTATGAAGGCAAAAATCATCGGATTGAAAACATTTTACCCAGTTCATCATTAGATCGCTCTAATCAAGTTTTTTTGCTAATCCTAATTTACAAATAGTTTTTCAAATAGTTGTTAATCTCAATTTCAAATAGTTTCCCATTCGCAAGAATTCGTTTCATCATGTGAATAGTAGTATACTGGATGAGTATGAAGTGGTGAAATCATTTCTCCACCATTTTTTCATACACATATCTTTCGACACTATATTCTGGAATAAAGCTAGCTAGCTAGGGTCCAGAACGCACGTTGTTACTTTGCATGGAGAACAAAGTTAGAAAAGTCGAGAATGAATTCGTCACCAAAAAATTTATCCAATTTCGATCAACTATGACAGATCGTTCGCAAATCATTAATTGCTACTCCCACTCCATTCAAAATGGCATGAAGCCCTTACCAACTGCGTGCAATTCACTGGTGATGATGAACGTTTTGTGAACATTTCTAAGGTCACTGTTAAAAACTTATGGAAACCCTACTGGAACTTTTCACTATCGTATAAATTCAAAATTTGCTTTTTATGAAGTTATTGCAATAACCATTAAAGCGTAAAAGAAAAAATATTTGGAATTGGGGCTCGATTTTTTATAAAAAATCAAGTCCCCGACTGCAGATAACTGATAAGGGGTTTATACCATCTGAAAGAAGTGAAAATGGTAAATTAATGATATGCGAAGGATTTTCATGGTTGGTCGGACAAAATCTGTTCGAGCTTCATGCCACTAATACAGCCGTTTTGCAGTGTAACAAAAAAGGCATCTTTACAAGAAAACTCCTTTTTTGTTATCTATATATGAGCCACATTCATAGAGACTTTCCGGATAGAGACTTTAGACAAGGACAAATACAGAGTAGCACTGTCATTTCTGGTATATATATTTCAAAAAAATGGAGCCATTCCAGGAAAATGAAAACGACTTACGAATAAATTGAATCCAAATAAATCATCCTTGTATTCTGTTTCTATGCTATTGTTGTTTACGGATGGAAGGAAAAATATTGCCACCAAACAAATGATATATACTACCAGCAATGCTATGAACAAACCACTGAATCCCCAAAGTTTCAGCAAAAATGAGCATAAATAACCGATTGTTCCTGCAAGAATTTTTAGATTAGAACTGAAATTAAAATTTTAAAAGACTGAATTTCTTACCTCCAAACCCAATAACACCTTCCAAAACTGCGATAACTAGTGATCGACACTTTGGCGGATAATAACAGATAGAATCGGTGGCATAAGCAAAAAATGACGAAAAAATGGACATATAGCCACCAAAAGCTGCGAAAAGCACTTCACTTGCGATTAACCAATATACTGAAAGCTGAAATAAACACGACAGATTAAACTACTAGAAAAATTTGATAGCTGAAATTAACAGTTGATGATGACTTAAAAGGTTATGAAGCGTTGCTTTGAAAAGGTCTTTAATCTGACTAGTTTATAAATGACTATAAATTTATTCAAATACTGAAGGTTTTTTTTACATCGCTTACCTCCATATAAAACGACTGCACTACCAATGAGACACCTTCAAGTACAAGTCCACTGAATGGTATTACCAAAGCTGCTTTACGAGATTTCGTATCACCTAACCGTCCAATCATTGCAGATGTGAAAAATCCAAGCGAACAAATCGCAACACTGCTGAAAATTTTCTTGAAATTATCGCAAACTTTTTGACAAACAAAACGTTTCGGTTAAAATATTTAGTGATTCATGTTCTTGAAAACACTAAACTTACATGCCAAAGGGACCTACAAGTATTCTGATTTTTTTTTTCTTTACATATAGAGTCATTTGATTTTACTAACTTAGCAATGCTTGTATAATAAAACAAACAATCAAATAAACCAATTTCCATGAACACGAGTAACTAAATAGACCTCAACAAGAGTATCCAATTGGCTATCGCCTGCAATTCTGTATTGGATGAAATACTCGGGTGTGAACAGTTCACACTGATACCTATGCTATCACCATATTGCAAACATGCCTGAAAATGATGCAACGAAAGTAATAGTGGAAAGTAAAGAACCCGATAGGTCTCTGCTTAATCAAAGTGATTAGAGAAAAATTACCATTTAAGATGCACGAATAAGAGAGAAAGCCACAAGTAAAATACGACACAATCGAAGGTGATATATTACACGAGTGTCTGGAAGTTGTAAATGGTAATAAATAGGACCTAATATTAATGAGAATGTCTTAATTTACGTTTACCTTCTGAAATGGTCATAGATTCTTACATAATTTCGATAACTGTTGTGGATGATAATTCAGTGTGACAAAAAATACCCCGGATTCATTTACTTTTAGTCATCCCTTAATTTTGTAGAATTGTCACCATGAAGAAGGATTAATTGCAATTTGTCCCATTCCTACTTTCATGCGATTAATTAGGTAAAATGTATTTGCTTTTTTTCATAAATTTTTGGGATGCGTAATATTTCATTTGGTACCGTTTAATATTACTCAACCAACAACCATCGAGATGTCTCAGTCAAGCTTTTCGATAAACTAAAGCAACAAAATAATAGAGAAGCTAACCTTCTGATAGACCAGTGATTGGAAAATCGGGTGAAACATAAAGCACGTGATGGAATACAGACATAACGGCACATTAATTCCAAGAGTTTTCCAAAATAGAAATTTGACACCATACACCGCGGTATCAGCAGTTCCCGTTTCCATTCTTCCGCGTATTTCAAGACTAACAACGGTAAGTTAAAAATTTTGGAGGAAAATTACGAATTCAAACAAGGATGAGACCAGCAAAAACCACTCGGTCAGAACGATTAAGATCGATACAAATTAAACAATGACCTTTGGTCTTTGCAAGTATAGTGGACGTGACAAGAAGGTTACGATGGGAAATATGGCATATTTGATGTAAAATATAACTAATAGAAGATATTTCTTTTCTCGTTTGATAGGTCAAACAATCCTTTCCTGTTGAATAAACTGTTTTCTCATTTTTCATTTTTGTTACTATTCGATGCAAACTAGAAGGAATATTTCATACTGAAAAATTTTACAAAAATAGAAATATTTGAAAACGGAAAAATGAATCCATTGATGGTAATCATCCGGAATAACTTAGCAAAAGGTAAAAAAAAAAGAAAGCATATATAGAATTAAACTTTGCAATGGCTTATTCTAAATTACTTCCAAAATGTTATTACACATATCATCCATAACTTGTCTTTTCTCATACGATTAATTACTATTTAGTTTAATGTTTTTAATCATGCAAAACTTGTCCTACTTCTGACATAAAGTAAGTAACTGTTACTTTGTAACTTTTAACAGGAAAGATTGACAGTTTTTTGAAAATTTTATTCTGTAATATACGATTGTACTTCAAGAAATCAATTCTTATGAAGGAAAAAAAAAAAAAAGAAGATAAAGATAACAAAAAATAGATAACAGTAATCAACCAAAATAGCAGTATTTGGGAAATTTACGGTGATGCAAAACCAATTGTACCGCAAGCCAATGGTAATATATCTTTGTTACGAAGTGACCATTCCATTACTGATAATTTATGGATCACCAATGAACGGCCAATTAGTGAGATATCTTTTGGCCAATCAATTTCTCGATCTAAATACACTTCAACTCTTAAATCTTTTCTATTCTTTATTAAATATTTAAATATAAATGAAGTTTATAGAATAATAGTTGATCTTTGAGAAAAATATCAACGGTGTTAAGAGCAACGTTTTCAATGAAATGACCTATAAGGGACATCCTTTAAATACCAACTGTCTCTTCTTTCTGCTCAATATTTCCGCAAACATTTGCAACATAGGGGTCAAATGCATCTTACGATGCATTAAGTTTGATATCTTCTGAAAGTTTGTTTTGCCCTATAATATCATCATTTATGAAACTATCCGCAACTATCATCAATTCTTTCTACCTTCCCGATTCAGGCTATCTAAAAAAGTTTCAGGTTTCCAGGTTTTAGCAAACTTTGCAAGTTTATAAGTCTCGATTAGTGCAACTGAGGCTTTTGACTTGAAAAAAAATAAGTGGATTTTAAATGGAATGATTTATGTTATTAATAATTTTAGCTTATATTGCACTAGTTATGGTAGATCTTTAACATTGTCATTTGTCATTTAATTTCAAAATTAACCAGAATTTTACGAACAAACTTATTTTCTCAATAAATTTTAACCAAAATATTTTTAAAATACCTGCCTATTGACTGATTGATACCTTTTGCGCCTTTTCTCTAATCACCCCTCTAATAGAGAGTTTAACGAGAGTTTGAATAACGAGGCGTAAAAATTACTGACTACTTCAGCATTATTTTTGTACTACTAAAAGTAAAAACTACTATACTGTAACTAACTGTAATTATACTGTTTCTATTATACTGTAACTAACCAATTGTTGCATTTTTAGTACCATCCACTTTAATATTCCCGAATATAGCGGATACATTAAATTTTTTATCCGGTGCCATAATGGGACCAACATTAGCACAGGAATTGGATAAATCACCGGCTTGATGGACAATGAGTGCATGTTCACCATTTGGTAATCCTGAATGCATTCGAATTTTTAATTTAATTTTTTCTAACCTTATTTTCTTTTCTATTCATTAGTTTGTATATATAGTTATGAAGAAATCATATTATTCTTTTCAAAGATTATCATAATTACAGTATTTCGTAATTGTAGCTTATAATAATAACAATTATATTATCAATTACTATCAAAATCATGCTAGATTAATAAGTTGAAAATTTTTTTTTAGGCTTATCATTCCTCTCTTTTCTAGGCTATCGTTTAATTTATTCAAAATTATTAAAAGATGGTACAAAATATTGCTTCTCATGCAAAAACGCTTAAATTTATTTGTAGCAAAAACAATAAAGAAGGAAATGTTTAGCATACAAAGGGAGGATTTATTATTTTTTAACATTTTTTTATGTTTTTTTTACATCCTAAGCCTAAGTCTAACCTTAAGCAAAGCTCAAATGATCATTTGACAATACAAAAAATGCTTAGTGTCTCATAGGTAACAAAAATTTAGGTTTAAATTTTTCTTATCACCTGTGTCATCCTTTGCTTCTTTTCTGGAACAAAAAGGAATTCATTTGTTAGCATAGCATTCGTCCTAATTTATTAATGCTATTTGCAAATGCAAATGTGAAAATTGAAAATTAAAATGCACTAAAAAGCTTTCATAAAACAAAAAAAAGCCAAAAATTTGCATAATTTTTTTTTTTCAAACCTTACATATTTTTAAAGGAAAAGAAAATTTCAAACTATGCTCCGTTCAACGATTTCAGGAAATGATGTCACTAGCAATATAATCGGTTTTCCAAGTATGACAATTCATTTTAGTGACTGTCCACATGAACTATTGTCAAATGTTTGTTACCTTTATTTGTAATACTTCCTTAAACTATCTTCAGAAATTTTCAATCAATTTATTAAAAAAGAACGATGAGACAAGGTATTATTCACTCTACATAATGTTGACGATAAATTTCAGTGAGTGAAATTTTTTCACAAAAAAAAAAACCCATAAAATCCGATTACAAAAAAAGATCCTACAAAATCTTCGCTTTTTTTTTTCCCTTGTTGTAACAAAAATAAAACGATTTTTAGGCGAAGCAAAAAATGAAAATAAAACAAAGCAATTAACTGTGAGCAATCTGAGAATACATATAACTTATCATAACTATTCTATCTTATCATCAATAATATTTAAACACTAATGACATTTTTCTTTCATTTAATCCAATTTTAACTATTTTTTGAAAAATGGTAAGATGATGATAAGGATGATAAGATGCTAAGAGGATAATAAAAGGTAATGATAAGATGCTAAAGATAAGATAAAAATGATCTAGTGATAATTGAGATCGTTTGCTAGTTTATTAACTCATTAATACACATTCTTCATGTAGCGAAATGAATTTCATACTTCTTTCATAAATACAAATTTATTTTTCAACAAACATTTTACTCAAAATATATACTAATTAATTTTTATCCTAATTAATTAGCCTTTTTTGCTCGAATAAACCTTATTGTTCTTACGAAATCAGAGATTTTCCTAAGAACTAAAAACAAAAAAAAGAAATCTTGATCGCAATTTTTTTAAAAGTCAGTTATGATAGCAATCTTTAATCATTCAACCGTGAAGTTCTTACCACTCTTTGCTTCTTTCTTTCTCTTTTTTCTTTTTGACACTTAAACAAGATTTCCAACTTTT